CATGAAGCCTGCATCGCGAGATATAATTTGCATGCCAATGGGGATTTATCCACTCCAAATTTCCCGCAAAAGTATATTCCTTAATAGATAATTAATTTGGATATAGTTAGAATTTATTATTATTATTTTTTATATAAAATTTGACTCGTATTAGCTGACCAAGATCCTCTCCTAATGCAAGTTCTCTGAAACAAACAGATAAATAAGCTTAGAGTTAATAAAAGTAATGTAATAAAGTTAATCTGACAGTTAATGACCTATCTTAATTTAAACAAACCACCAATTGATCCAAAGGGACGGCAATTTATATTAAGAATCGGCAATTTATATTAAAAATAATGAGTAACACATAGTGACAGAATTTTGCATTGATTTAAGAGGTCGAAAACTGGACAAAACTATTTAGTTCCATTATATGTGGATGATTTCATTGTTTCATTCAAACTTAATTGTATAATTAAATTGATAATCTCCAAGCTTCAAATTAATTGTCATCTTCAATACCTATGATCAATTGGATGAAATCACTATCATACTTCACTAAATACATGGGTTTTTATGTAAACTGTAAGAGAACTTCAAATATATACAGTAAAACTTCAAATTAATTGTCATCTTCAATACCTATGATCAATTGGATGAAATCACTATCATACTTCACTAAATACATGGGTTTTTATGTAAATTGTAAGAGAACTTCAAATATATACAGTAAAACCTCTTTATAATGATACTCTATATAGGAATAAACTATACATAGTCATAAAAAATTATAGTCCAAATTTAAGATAGTTATAAATAAGAATAAACTCTATATTGTAACAAGTTATAATTTTTCTAATTCCCGTCTTAAGTAAAGTTGCTTTCACATAATAATAATTATCTGTATATTACTAAAAAAATATATGTTATGTTACATTAAAAGTTTAAGATGAAATAAAATATTTATCTAAAATTGTTTGTGACAATGATTTATATTTTAAAGTTGTTACCACATCATTTATTTTGCTAGTATATAATAACTTGCTAGTATGGACACATTCTTGTTGAAGCCAAAATATTTTTAGCTTATCATTACAGCTTCATGGCACAAAACTTTTTGTATTTTCGTACTATCATCCTTAGGATTATTACCTTTATCTTCTTGTCTAATTGTAGTAATGATTTCTTCTTCGGTTAAAACATACACGATTTGTTACTCATTTAGATGATCGAGGAAGACATTAATATACATTCGATTAGTGTAGTGAAGTTGTCGAATCTGATCACTTAATTTTGCAATGACTCTTTTATTTCCTCGTCCACTTCATTTGTAACTTGCAATTCATCGAAATCAGGGGTTCTAATTTTGCAATGCTTAAAACCATTGGCAAGTGTTTGTGGCTTCACATCAATTGACCATGCATCAATTGCATTTATAGTTCTATCAAAGACACTTATTTTTGCTGGTTTCAAGATACGATCTTCTATCATAGGCAATTAAAGTGCTGAATTGAAATCTTAATACTACTAAAATATGAATTGAAATCCTAATATTGTACTACTAAAACATGAATTAAAAAATAAGAAACCATAACTATAATTTTTGTAACTACATCTCCATTAAGTTATAACCTCCTCAAAATAATAAAATTAGTTGGTTCCATCATTATGACTATAGAGAGGTTTTACTGTATATAGAAATTAATTTTCTTTTTAAATTCCAAAGTTTTATCCCCAAAATTTTGTTTCTACTATATATATATATATATATAAAATAGACCGATAAACATTTCAACAAAATGAAAATCACCCAATATATCCATTTGGTTTAAAATAATATCGTTTTTTTTTTTTAATTTTTTTTAATCTTTTGAAACTAGTTTAAGAATAGGCACACTGCATTGAGGGGTGGATTCAAGGTCCCTCCTTTATATTCATATGTTGTAATGACTCAGAATAATCATAATATACAATAATAACATACATATAAATTATAAAGTTGGCAAAAATTAGGATCCCAACTTATATGCATAGAATTATTATGATATATAACTATGAGGTACGTATAGGGATGAAAAGTGTATCCGAAAATCTGAGAACCACCCCGCCCTACCCTGTATAGGACGGGGATTCCCTGAAGTAAGTAGGGATGGAGACGAGGACAAAATTATTCCCTAAAAACGGAGACAGGGAATGGGAAATCCAGCCCCGCCCGGTTGCCATCCCTAGACTAACGTTGGTATCATTCTTGAGAATAGATGAGAAATAAAAAATATGTAACATAAAGACATGTTTGTGATATGACTGCTATGTGTGTTGGCTATTCCCTATTTTTTTACTATTCAGAGATATATGTATTAAAATTTTACCCTAAATAATATAATATATCATCTTATTTCATATTATCACTTCTTATATTAGAGTGGATATTATTACTTAAAATTTTAACTTTAATTTTTTGATATTGTTTGTGAACCATTCATTTTTGTTCACCAATGGTGTTGAGCGGTTCTGTGATAAAAGATTTGGTTTAATACTGGACTACAGTGGTATGATGATGTCATGAATGACATATAGTTATTATATATTTAATAAGTATCAATCACGATAGAAAATTTGACTAAGATAACATAAATTATGATGGTTGGCAATGCGATGCCGTATTCGGATGGCATCTTGATTTTTCCAGACTTTGATATTATGGCACTTACTCTTTCGTCTCTGTATAAGTAAACCTAATTTGTGCATTAGTATTCACTTCATCCATGGAACTCCTCTCTCTTCAATCCTCCTTTTCTTCTCCTCCTCTCTCTTTTTTTCTACTTCTTCGCTTCACCAAAACAAACCCTTAATGGCTTCAAACGTTACCCTTTACTCGGATGCTTACCAGGCTTCATTATAAACGACCACCGCCTCCTTGAATGGACAAACCAAAAGCTCAAAAACTACCCTACAAACACTGCCGTAATTCACAATCCCGGCACAGTCCATGGCGTCCTCACTGCAAATCCTTCCAACGTGAATACATCCTCAAGACTAACTTCGAAAACTACGGAAAGGCGACGTGTTCACGCCCTCTTGAAGATTTGCTCGGCCGAGGAATCTTTAACTCCGATGGGGAGCTTGGAAAGTTCAGCGCAAAACGGCTAGCCATCAGTTTAACACAAAGTCGCTTCGAAGTTTTGTTGTGGAGAAGTGAAGTTGAGAATGTGCGAGGTTGGGTGCCCATGCTGACAAAAGCTTCGGAAAGAGAAGAAGTTTTGGATTTGCAGGGTGTTTGGAGAAGTTTGCTTTGATAACATTTGCAAGTGGGTGTTTAATGTCGATCCCGGCTGTCTCGGCGGCGATGGAGCCGGTGTTGGTGCCGAGTTTATGCGTGCGTTTGAAGATGCAAGACCGAAGCTGTGGGAGATTAGGTATGCTTTTGAATTTCTATGGAGGTTGAAGAAGTTCTACAATATAGGATCAGAGAGAGAATTGAAAAAATCGATTGCAATAGTCAATGAATTTTCTACGATATTATAAGACAAGATTGGAAGCAAACAAGGAAAATGAAAACGATCAGGATTTACTATCTCATTTTATTGGAAGTAATTATAATCTTGTATGAACTCACCTGAGCTTATCGGATATGGTGATAAATTTTATTCTTGCAGGACATGACTCAACATCGTCAGCTCTAAGTTGGTTCTTTTGGCTATTATCGTCTCATCCGGACGTCGAAGAAAACATATTGAAAGAGCTTGAATCCATTCGGACAAAAAACCAAAAAATAATAGGCCAGTCTTATGAGTTCGATGAGTTAAGAGAAATGCATTATCTCCATGCGGCATTATCGGAATCGTTGCGATTGTATCCACCGGTACCGCTTGATTCAAAAGTATGTTGCAACGACGATAAATTACCGGATGGTACATTTGTCGGCAAGGGATGATTATATCATACCATGCATATGCAATGGGGGGCATGGAGGGCATATGGGGCAAGAATTGCCATGAATTTTGCCTGAAAGGTGGCTTGAAAATGGGATGTTTCGGCAAGAGAATGCTTATAGATTCCCGGTGTTCCATGCCGGGCCAAGAATGTGTATTGGGAAAGATATGGCTTACATTCAAATGAAGTCAATTGTAGCATCTGTGATTGAAAGGTTTATTGTTGATGTACAGGATAAGAACAAGTCTCCCGAGGATGTTTATCTATGACACTAAGGATGAAAAATGGATTGAAAGTAAAAGTGAGGAAAAGATCCAGGATTTTATCAATTGAATTATGTTAGGATCCTCACATCTATTAAGTAAAGATTAGTGGGTGGTTTATTAATCTTTAGGCTCCCTCTCCATACAAACCGGTTTACCCAACGCATTCATACAATTGGTATCAGAACTAGCTCTCATAGCCTGGAGGGCCGACGCTGGCATTGACTCCCTTATAAGTCCGTTTTAAGGGTGAGTTCTACCAGAGAATAGTAACAAATTATGTTTTTTTGTATGTGATATAAATAAACACTTTAAGGGGAGTTCTATCTAGTGGATAGTAACAAACTATGTTGTTAATAGTGATATAAATAAATACTTTATATCTTTATATACCAATGAATTTATATCTTTTTAGACAAACTTGTGAGATGAATACATAATGATATGGTAAGATTAGTGATGGGGATCTTGGACTAGCTAGGAACTTTAATATTTATTTTATAACATTTTATTTATATTTTATAATTGTTTGATATATATAGTATGATATAAGATACCATGTTGGTTCATAAAATAGTGAAGTCCTACTAGTGGGTTGCATTGACAAATTTTTTTCAAGTATTTAATATGAAGCTTAGTAATTACCTGGGAGTGGCAGTTTCAGATTATGTGCATTAACAGGTTGAAACATATAAGCTTTTAATATCTCTTATAAGAAGTCTTACTCAATTATTTATCACAAACTTTTTACTTCGTTTGAGCTTAATTAATTTGGTGCAACAAATATTATTAATTCTCATACGCTTTACATGATCAGCATTTGATGAATACGATTAATTAAAAATTGCTACATGAAGTAGCCAGATATTGGTAACAAATTTAAAATTGTCAAGGAAAACATATTTTTTTGCTACATAATAAGTATACTACAAGCAGCTACCAATCTCAGAGTCGTCAGATTGTATGTAACTTAAGTGACTGGACATCTTTTGAAGATTCAATGCACATCAATGAGTATGTTCCAAATGAGATTGAACTACATTCCCCAATCTCAGTCAACATTTTCGCATCGCTTATATCTTGTTTTTGGTCAGTAGATAAATACCCTTTTGAGAACATAATCCCCTCCAATTCCACTGCAACTTCTCTCATTGATGGCCTATCCCTCCCATTTTAGTGTAGACATCTTTTTGCAATGTAAGCAACTGCCATTAGCTCTTCCTTTCTATCTTCCTTCATTACTTGAGCATCGAGAATACCAATTAAGTTGTTTTGATCCAATGATGAAATGAAATATGCAACTAAACTTATATTTTCCTCTTCTTCAGTAGAAAAAATTGGCTTCTGCCTAGTCAAAAGCTCGACCAGAACCACTCCAAAACTATAAACATCACTTTTTTTTGTGAATTGGTTACAGCAAAAATATTCAGGATCCAAGTAGCCAAAAGTACCTTTCACTTGTGTAGTTAAGTGCGTTATATCAAGAGAAACTGACTTTGAGGTTCCAAAATCTGACAATTTAGCTCTGAATTTTTCATCTAATAGGATGTTAGAAGACTTGACATCTCTATGATAGATGAGAACAGAAGCTGAAGCATGCAAGTATGCAATTGCACTGGCAACTTCTGTGGCTATACGCAATCGAATTTCCCAAGAAAAAGGAAATCCCTCTGTTCGATATTGGATAGCGTGGTAAAGAGTTCCATTTGGAATGAACTCATAAACAAGTAGAGGAACTTCAGTCTCTAAGCAACAACCTAACAACTCAACAACATTTCTATGATTAATCTGTGAAAGGATAACGACCTCATTTATAAACTGCTCAAGTTGTGCCTTATCCATTACTTTGGACATTTTGACTGCAACATTTCTCCCATCAGATAACATTCCTTTATACACTGTGCCTTGCCCTCCTTGACCGATGATTCTATTCTGATTATTCATATTAGTAGCAATTTCTAATTCTGTTGAAGTAAAAAGTTTAGTTTTCTCGACACTACCTTCATTTGAAGATAATTTTTGCTGCAACAATAAACCACCATTTCGTTTGAAGAATTTCTCTTTTGAGTTCAATGCTTTTTCTTTTTTGCAGTACTTTGTAAGACCATAAAGCTCCAAGAATTACAAGCAAAAGTCCTAAGCCTGCACTAGCACCTGCAGATATATATTTATATATTTAAATTATAAAGGTCAGTATCTTACGTTACTAAACAAAATGTGTTTAATTAAGCTACAGAAATTTACCTATTATAGCTGTTCTAACCCACTGTTTGTTTTCAACGCAACCAATTCCACCTCGACTGCCATCACCACTGTAACCTGAAGGACAAGAACATTGGTAGTTCCCTGGGGTGTTGATGCAGATTTTGACACAATCATTCAGGCCCAAATCCTCACATTCATTAACATCTATAAAAATAATAAGTTAAACAATACTTTTAATCATTAATTTTGAGCAGTGAAGAGAATTTAATTAGTAGCATTTACCTATGCATCCTTGTGGAAGATATGGGTTCCCCGCAAAGCCTTTGGCACATGAGCAAGAAACAAAGCTTTGATTCACTGAACAAATAGCATCGGGGCCACAAATTTTGCATGTCTCATTTGCAGAGAACTTCCAATCAAGCACTGCAGGAAAGAGGTCCGAAGGCATATAATAAAAAGGGTAAGAAAATGATTGGTTAAGAAACCACTCTTGGTCTACCAGGAAGGCATACTTGCAGGTCTCGTAACTACCATCTTTGTTTGTCCCACTGACACTCAAAGTGAAGTTCTTTAGTCCATAAGGAATCATAGCCTGGCAACAGGTGATTCCATAACAACTAGCTCCTGAACTAGAGGATGAGGCATGGCTCTCATCGTTGCAAATAGACATGCAACCTCCAATGAGTTCATTATTTTCACTGATTGTGGCCTGCACACCACAACCCAATGCCGTAAACCTGTTACCTTTTTCTGAGTAGAATAAATAGGGATTGTCTCCCAAGTTCTTGCTTATATTCACAAGTCCGGAACATGAAGAACAAATCTCACTATTGACGCGCATGGAACCTCCTGGGATATTTATTTCCAAAATCTCAGCCTGAGGATTTGTCAATAAAGGTTTAGGAGGGTTGAATGAAGTGTTACATATAATAGAGAACGACTCATCTTTAGAGCAACCAGATCCAATACCAAAAGGGTAAGAGATTGTGAAATTGCCGCATTGATTTGGACAATTGCGCAGCGCTGGATAACCAAAATTTGCATAAACTGAAACTGTGCCCAACAAGAAAAAGGAAAATTGTTGGAATATTATGCATTGCAATGCCATGATTGATCTTATAGTAACTACTGAACAAGAAAGGATTAGGTAGGAATTCAGCATATCAGCCAACAATAACAAATCGTCAATTTATAGAGATTGAAATAGCCAGGTTGTCACAGTATGACCGAGTCATTGCAAGACAAATTTCAAAGAACTTGCCAGGATATACAGATAAAAATTTCCATGGGATTACTTTGAGTCTAAGTAAGAGAAATTTCAACTTCTTCATTGCTTATAGGAGTGGATAAATTTTTAATAGCTCTAAGTCAACATTCCAAAAGATTGGGTAAAAGAAATTGTCTCTATGTGTTTGTTGTGCACTCATAGTCAAGAAATATATTTTTTAAATCGGATTTCCCAAGACATGGGAAATTCCATTATTTGATCATGGATGTGGGAAAAAGTTCCATTTGGAATGACCACAAAAACGAGTGGAGGAACATCTGTTAAAATATAAACAACCACCTAAAAACTTAACAACATTTTTATGCTCAATTTCTAAAAGGATAAGCACCTCATTTATAAATTGCTCAAGTTATGCTTCATCAATTACTTTGGACATTTTGGCCGCAACAATTCTACCATCTGATAACATTCCTTTATACACTGTGTCTTGCCCTCCCCGATCGATCTGTCAGTAGAAATTTCTAATTCTGTTGAAGTGAAAAGTTTAGTTTTGTCCATACTACTTTCATTATTTGAAACCAGTTTTTGCTTCTACAACAAAGTAACCAACCACCATTTCGTTTAAAGAATTTCTCTTTCAGTTGAATTATTTATCTTCTTTGCAGAACTTTTTAAGACCATAAAGCTCCAAGAACTATAAGCAAAAGTCCTAAGCCTGTACTAGTACCTACAAATTATATTTTTAAATTATAAAGATCAATACCTTACTTTATTACCCAGAATGTTGAATTAAAATAAAGGGCTTTACCTAGTATGGCTGGAGTCATCTAAGGTTTGTCTTCAACACAACCAATTAATTCCACCTTTACGGCCATCACCATTGTATACTAAAGGGCAAGAACATGTGTAGTTTCCTTTTATATTGATGCAATCTTTGACACAATCATTCAAGCCCAGATCCGCACATTCATCAACATCTATAAACAACGACAAGTTAAACAAAAACATAAGTTAATCATTCTGGCTGTAATTATACTTTCAATCCTTAATTCCAAAGAATATTATTAATTTTTTAGTAGCATTTACCTGTGCAACCTTGTGGAAGATATGGTTTCCCCTTGAAGCCTTTGGTGTAGGAGCAAGAATAAAAAATTCACCATGTCTTAGTCTGACATTGATATTTAAGCCAATGGCATTAGGGCCAAAAATACCCCATTTCTCATTTACAAACATTTTCCAATCTTTATCTAGCAAGAAGGCAAATGTGCAGGCCTTATAGCTACTATCTTTCTCATCACATTGACACTCAAAGTGAAGTTCCTAATTAGTCCACGAGGAATCATGGTCTGGCAACAGTTGATTCTATAACAATCAGCAACATAAATTCTAGTTGATATTATAAAGGAAGGTTCTGAGCATCAACAACAAAGCATTAAAGAGACAAATCAGCCTTAAATCTTGCTGTATCAGTTTATAATATTTTTGTAATTGTGTAACTGATGTAGATTCTGCAACTGAAGCCTTAACTTAGTCTATTAGCTGTATATTTCCTAAAATAGAGCTGACATACGTGTATATATAATTCTGTCAACACATCAATGAAAGTATGAAAAATTCTTCATCGACCCTGCAGTGTTATTTTCTCTATATGGTATCAGGAGAGCCGATCTCAAACGAACCTACAATCCAACACTCAACAATGTCTTCCTCAACCGATCAAAATCCCCAAATTCAACCCAAATTCAACCCATCTCAGCTTCCGAAAAACCTATTATTGCTCTTAATATCACTGCCCAAATCAATGAAAAACTGACACCCTCCACCTTCCCTCAATGGCGAGCACAGTTTGAAGCCTTGCTTAAAGGCTACGACTTACTCGACTACGTAAATGGTGATTCTACCTGCCCCTCTCCTGTTGGTACCCCCAATGCCGAATTGAACAAGACTCACTGGGTTCGTCAGGATAAGCTTATTCTCAGTGCAATTTTAGCCTCCACATCACCCACTATTACCCCTCTAATTGCTACGGCAAAAACCTCTCATGAGGCATGGAAAAAACTCAACACACTTTATGCTAGCCGATCAAGAAAAGAGCTATGCAACTTAAAGAGGAACTCACCTTGATTCAACGTGGGAATCAGTCGATTCCAAACTACTTGCACATTGTCAAGGCCCTGGCAGACGAAATCGCCATTATTGATCATCCTATTTCAGCAGATGATCTAACCCTCTATTTGTTGAATGGTCTAGGACTAGAATTCCGGGAGATCGCAGCGCCAATCCAAGCACGGGAGAAACCTTTGGCGTTTGAAGAACTACATGATCTCTTAGTGAGGCATGATGCATATCTACGCCGGCTAGAGGCTACAAATCAACAGCACATCATTGCTGCAAACTACACGAGACGATCTACATCGCAAGGAAGCTCATCCACTAAGGGCTCTTATAAGCAATCTGGGCCAAACAAATATTATACCTCGAGCCCAACTCACGACCAACGTGATGGCCGAAGGCAAGGAAATGGACATGGCAAGTCCAATAACTCTAACAAACAGTAGCCCAAATGCCAAATGTGTGATTAGCTCGGTCACATTGCCAAAGCCTGCCCACAGTTGCACCAACGTGAGGTAACTCTCAACTGCACTACAATCGCTGCTACAAAAGATCAAAATTGGCTTCTAGACTCAGCTGCCTCACATAATATTACGGGCGATCTCGCGAATTTAAACATTCAATTCTGAATATGACAACACAGATGAAGTCGCGCTTGGTGATGGTTCAGGTTTGCCAGTTTCGCACATAGGTTCTTGAGTAATGCTAACTTTACATTACTTCTCTATACCACCCTCTTATAGGGATGAGCATGGATAGTGGATAGAATCGAAACATGTGGATAGAACCGGAATCAAAATCTACCCAAAACAAGCACTATGCGGATAGGTTCCAGTTCCATTTTATTAAAACCGATAATGTATGGTTCTGGTTCCAGTTCTTGTGTGTGAAGGAACCGGAACCAAGAAAAAGAACCTAAAACGGGTACCTTGTTTGGAGCCTGTAACAGGTACCAGGTTTAGAACATGTTTGGAACCTATTAGAAACCTGTTTGGAACCTGGACTGAAATGAAATGTTTTGTAAAATGTCAATAATGGGGGGTTTCATTATTTTACATATAAAAAAATTAATATAGAAAAAATTAAAATTTTTAGAATAACCTAATTAAATAAATATACAATTATATTTATTACATATAAATTACACCATATTAAAAACTTTAATATATTATAATATATTAATATTAAAGTTTTGAATAATTAAGTAAATAATTGGAATTATGATCCAATTAAAAGTGTTGATGATTATTTAATTGATTATGACATTATGTTATAAATATTAATTGTAACATTACATTATAAATAAATGATTACTTAATTAAATGATCAAAACTTTAATTAATTAAACATTATATTATAGTTAAATAATTACTTAATTAAATTATAACATTACTATATTACATTATATTATGATCACTTAATTAATTATAGCATTTCATGGTTAAATGATTACATAATTAGTTATGAATTTATAACATTACATTATAAATATTAGTAATTTACTATATTATTACATTACTTAATTAAATTATTAAAAATTTAATTAATTATAACACTACTTTATATATTTATAGTATGAGTACTTAATCAATTATAACATTTCATTGTAAACATTAGTATATTAATTAAATGATTAAAAATTTAATTAATTATAATATTAAATTATAGATTTATAGTATGATTATTTAATTCATTATAACATTGCATTATAGTATAATCACATAATTAATTATAATAATACATAATTAAATGATTACTTAATTGATCATGACATTATATTATAAACATTAATAATTTACTAATTTACACAATACTTAATTAAATGATTAGAATTTTATTAATTATAACATTATATTATAAATTTATAGTATGATTACTTAATTAATTATAACATTTTATTATAAACAATATTACAATACTTAATTAAATGATTAAAAATTTAATTAATTATAATATTACATAATTAAATGATTACATAATTAAGTATGACATTATATTATAAACATAAAAAATAAATAAATAATTAAATTATTATAAATTTAATTGATTATACCATTACATTATTGTTAAATAACTACTTAAATAATTATAAGTATTTATAACATTACATTATAGTATGATCACTTAATTAATTATAAAATTACATTATAATTTAATAATTACTTAATTAATTTCAATATTACTATATTATATTATAAACATTACTAATTTATAATATTAAATTTACTACATCATAGTATTTGTTATGAGTTATATTGGACACAAATGAATGAGTAATCAAAATTTGTTAGGGGTGTATTTGTAACCTTTTAATGTATTTTTGTCATTTTTTAAACTAATAGGGGGGTAATTGATTTTTTATAAGATACAGGGGAAAGGAACCGGAACTTGCATTTTAGGTTCCGGTTCCTTGAATTGAAGAACCTGTACTGTGTGGTTTCGGTTCCAATTTTTTTTTTTGGGAACCTATACTATGCGGTTCCAGTTCAAGTTCCCTTAAAAAAATACATGGTACTAGGAAACACTCACCCCTGTCCTCTTACATCATGACGTAACAGCTAACGTGATAGCACCATCTCATTTGCCACGTCAGCGAGCTAACACCTCACCTCTCCAAAAAAAAAAAAAAAGAAAAAAAAAAAAGGGTTCTCGAAAAAAATTCAAATTCCATTCTCCCTGAATCTGATGTCTTTCCCCAAATTATTTTCCCTAAATTCAAATTCTCCTTCCCCTAAATAAAAAATCTCTCGCAAAATTGAAATTGCTTTCCTTCCCCTAAATCAAATCTCTCCCAAAATCAAATTGGAACCGCCGTTGTCTGTCGTCTACCACCACCATCGGCGGCTATCGTCTACCAAAAAAAAACTTCAGTTCTCTTCAATTCACCCGAAAAGCCAAAACACAAACACAACCAAAAACATTTCCTTCCAATTCTCTCAAATTTCCTTCCATGGCTTTCACCAACTCTCTCTTCTCTTCTTCAACTCTGCCTCGAACTCCACTCATCGATTTCGATTTCTCCCGTCTAATTTCTCACGACTCGTTCATCTCAATTTCAGTGGCAATTTTCTCCGATTTCTTGCAATTTCTCTCAAAAACGACTTCTCCACACGAGAAAACAGTAATCAAATTCTTCTTCTTCTTCTTTGTTTTGTTTGATGAAAAATTGAAAATAATCGTGTTAATGCGTGCGATTTGTGTTTGTTTTCTTGATCGTTCTATGGCTTTTTTGGGTTGTATTTTGATTACGAAAGAAACAAGTGGAGGCTTGGTTCAATTATGGCATATTTAGTCGATTGGAAGGGGAAGATTTTTGATAAATACATGAAATTTGGGGAGGTTTATGATAGTCTTCAAGGAAATTTATTTGTGGAGAAGGGAGTAGCACATTGAGTTATGGTCGTTTTTAGGCCGTTGTGACAGATTCCGGCTACCACCGATGGTGGTTGTTGGAATCTGGTAAGTATGGGTGGGTGGAGGTGTTTTTGTTAATTTTTAAACTTTTTTCTGGTGGTATTTATGAAATTAATAAACTTAAGGGGTCTAAAAGTAATTTAAAAAATATACTAATATTTCTCAAATAACAAAACAAACAAGTATTTTGGGAATAGGATTGAGAATATGGATAGAAATAATAAGCTAAATGGAGCCTACATTTTTTCAGAGAAATTTTTTTTTTTTTTTTTTGAGAGGTGAGGTGTTAGCTCGCTAACGTGGCAGATAAGGTGGCACTGCCACGTCATGATGTAAGAGGGTGGTGTAGAGAAGTGATGTAAAGGTAGCATTACTCTAGGTTCTTTGGTCTTGCACTCACCCAAACGAACCTTTGTCTTACGTGATACACTTTGTGTACCTAATCTTTGCAAAAATTTAATTTCTGTCCATCATCTTACTAAACAAAACCATGTTTTTGTAGAATTTCACCCATCTCATTTTTTTGTGAAGGACAAGAATACGGGGGCTATTCTACTAAGAGGAGCATGTGAAAAAGACGTCTACACTTTTCCGGAATCAATGGTAGCACCTTCATAAAAAATGGTTGCTAATGTGCATGAACGGACTTCGATTGATGGGTGGCACAAGCAACTTGGACATCTGTCAATACCAATAATAAAAAATCTTGTTCAACTTTTTTCTCTTGCTATCACCACAAAAAAATTGTCATCGTTATGTAGTTCTTGTTCTATCAATAAAGCACATCAACAACCTTTTTGTGTTACAAGTTTTCAAAGTAATGCTCCCCTTGAAATAATTTACACTGATGTTTAGGGACTCGCTCATTATACTAGAATTGACGGATCTCGATATTACATCATTTTTGTTGATCACTATACCAAATATATGTGGTCCTATACCAAATATATGTGGTTTTATCCTATGACTACCAAATCCAGTGTGTCTAGTATTTTCCCACATTTTAAAATTTTTGTTGAAAATCGTTTCCAAACAAAAATCAAAAGCATGTACTCTGATAATGGTGGTGAGTTCATTGCACTAAAATCATACTTGTCCACTCATGGTATTAGTCATTATACCACAACCCCACACACCCCACAACAAAATAGTGTCTCTGAGCGTCGTCATTGTCACCTTGTTGAAACCGGTCTCACCTTTCTCCATGATGCATTATTGCCACTCTCATATTGGCCACATGCATTTCGAACCGCCTCATATCTAATAAATAGGCAACCCACACCTCTCCTCCAAAACAAATCACCATTTGAGATTCTTTTTGGTCAAAAACCAAATTACCTCAAATTAAAAAAAATTGGATGTCTTTGTTACCCACTCACACGGGCATTTAATACAAATAAAATGCAGCCAAAATATGTATTGTGTCTTTATTGGGTACTCCTCCACTCAAAATGCATGCAAATGTTTCGACCCACAAGCCCATAAAACATATCTCTTGCTGCACGTGTTATTTGATGAACATAACACTATGCTCTCAACTCAATTGCCCTCAACCACGACAAACACGATGCAACCCACATCCAAACTTTTCCCTCTTCTCCATGCCAAAACACCAACTATTCCTGTGCCTCCGATGGTGCCATCTGCTTCGATGTCGTCACCAATACCTCCAGAAAGTGTTTCTGTCGCCATCGCATCCTCC